AGTTTGCGGGATAATCCGCGTCAGTCAGTTCGCAAGAGAGCGGCTGCCTTGGGGCTTCCTAAAACTATAGTGCACGAGATATTGAAGAAGGATCTTAAATTTCACCCATTTAAAATTCAAATTGTGCAAGCGCTTAAGCCTAATGATTACAATATGCGTAAAAACTTCTGTGAGACAATGTTGGAGCGATTTCGCACGGTGAACACTATTGTTTGGAGTGATGAAGCCCATTTTCATTTAAATGGAAGTGTAAATAAGCAGAATTGTCGTTATTGGTCCCCTAAACGACAAAATCCCCGCTTAAAACATCAACAGCCACTTCACAGTCCCAAAGTGACGGTTTGGTGTGCATTATCAAGCAGGGGGATAATTGAGCCGTATTTTTTTGAAAATCATCAAGAGCAAGCAATATCTGTAGACGGTGTTGCTTATAGGCGAATGCTTAATGATTATTTTGTTCCAAAATTGAGAGAACATCCTTTCTTCACTTCGCAGACATGGTTTCAGCAAGATGGCGCCACGCCTCACACTGCTAGGGATACCATAGCGCTACTTCGTGATTTCTTCCCTAACAAACTGATAAGCCGTTTCGGTGACATCCTTGGCCACCCAGATCCCCGGATCTTACACCAATGGATTTTTTTCTGTGGGGGTATCTCAAAAGTAAAGTCTATGAAACAAGCCCGGCGACTATCTCAGCATTAAAAGAAAATATCGTTCGCGAAGTTCATGGCATCTCGGCGGCACTTCTCCAGCGAGTGGCAAGAAATACTGAAGCCAGATTCCAAGAATGTGTCCGACGTCACGGTCAACATTTAGACGACATAATCTTTAAGATATAAAACCCGCATTTGTCTTCTTTATAATGATTAAAAATATAAATGTATATCTTTCGTAGTTTTTTTGTTATATACATTTTAAATCCTAATTCTGCCACCGGACACCCTGTATGTATTATTGTTTGTTGATGATTTGTTATTCTTTTGTAGTGATGATAAAGATATAGATATTTTTAAAAATTTGTTGTCTAAAACTTTCCAAATGAAAGACCTTGGTGTAGCTAAACAATATATAGGTATGAATATTGAACAAAATATTAAATGTCACTATACTAAAATTAACCAAAAGGAATATTTACAAAAATTGTTAGAAAAGTATAACATGTTAAATTGTAATCCTGTTGCTACTCCATTAGAACAAAACTTTGATTTTGGTATATTATGTAGGGATAAACCTGAAATTGACTTGGTAGAAAATAATTGTAGAAAATTACAATTTATTTTATAATTGTAGAACAAGCATATAAAAAACTAGGCAGTTTATTATATGCTTGTTCTACCAGACCAGATTTGTCAGTACCAGTATGTTTTTTAAGTAGATATATGCATTGTGCTAGTGAAGCTCTGTTTAAATGTCTAAAACGTATATTGCGTTATATAAAAGGAACCCTAGATTTGTCTTTAGTATATAAGTACTCTAACATACTTAATCTACAGGGATATAGTGACTCAGATTGGGCTGGTGACACCAGGGACCGTAAGTCCACATCAGGTTTTATTTTTTACATGTCTGGTTGCCCTATATCATGGTGTACAAAAAAGCAACAGTCTGTGTCTCTATCATCTTGTGAGGCTGAATACATAGCTCTAAGTAATGCAATTACAGAAGGTATATGGCTTAGAAACTTATTAAATGATTTTGGTTATTGTAATATAACTTTAGAGATGTTAGAAGATAATCAGAGTGTCATAAAACTTGCTTATAGTAGTCAAAATATTAAGAGGCTCAAACATATTGATATTAGGTATCGTTTTATTGAAGATAATACATTAAATGGTTGTATAACTTTGAAATATGTAAATTCAAACAATAACATTGCTGATATGTTTACTAAACCACTAGGTAGATTATTATTTGAAAAACTAAGAAGTTTTGTATTAGAGTAACTCATTGTTATTGTTGTTATTGTAATAATCCATAAGTTTTTAAGTAAGTTTTAAATATTGTAACTTTCATTTCAGTATTTAGAAATTAAGTGCCTCACAATTGTTAGCTATGTATACTATCTATAGGTATAAGTTTTTGTAAAGTAAAATAACTGTTGAGGGGGTGTGTTAAATATAATTTTATATGGCAACAGTTATTTCACTAGGTCAATTTAGTTTTCTTATAATGGCCACACTTAAAACTGTATAACAGAGAGGGCGCTATATAAGTCTCTCTCTCTCTGCTGCGCCGCCGTAGAAATATGTTCTTATATTGTCGTGCTATAATAAAAAATTAAATAACGTATTATTTACAACCCAGACTGTTATATTCTTTTATAAAACCCTTCACTAGGCAAAGAAAAATTCAGCAAACAAGCACCAGTATTAGTGTATCATCTAAGTCTAGTTGACACTCCAACCAAGTATATTTAGTAGTTTAGTGCAAAACACAACAATCAAACAAACATACCCGAACTCATAATAAGTCTGTATATTGTGTCACAACGCTTTTATAATATTATTATAGGTTAGTACAAGCTTATATCCGCGGCTTGTGACGTACAGAATGTAAGATACTGTAGGAGAAAATAAATCATAAAGTGTTATATGTACAATAGGTACTTACTTTATGCGAAACGATTGGAGATAAATTAAATTCATCTTGTATTCTATTCCATGCCTGCTTTTTTCTCACTCGTACCATTTGTCTAAAATTTAATTCAAAGTACTGTCATCTGACATTGCAATCAAGTAACAAACACAATGCTTAAGATTTGCTCCGTTTTGGCTAGAATTCGCGCTCAGCGTTCTTTCTTCTACAGTGAGGGTAGTCCGATATTTCTTATCATTTTTTTAAATGTGTTCCATCATTTACATAGACGCGTGTATTTTTGTAACTTCTTTTAGTTAATAATGGATACAAGTCCTCAGGAAGCCGCTCAAGCTGTGGCAATATATCAAGGAGGCCACGGACCACAGATCTTCAGTGCAACGAGTTTACAGACGATACTTAGAGACTGGAGCATTCGATCGCTGTCCGGGTACGGACAGACCTAAGGCTACATCAGCAGCAGATGATCTTACTGTTCTGCGAAATCGTCGACTCAACGCAGTTAAAGTCCAACAAAGTCTGCGTGATAAATCACCAAGTGTTCATAAGTTCAGATACTGTTAGGAGACTTGCCGAAACGGGACCTGACTCCTAAAAAGCGGCAACACGCCCAGCATTAACGGTAGCCCACCGTCGAGCGCGACTTGAATTTGCTCAAGAGCATATACATTGGACGTTGGAGCAGTGGAGTAAAGTACTCTTCACTGATGAGACAAGAGTGAGTCTACATAAAAGTGATCGACGTCAGAGAGTATATCATCGCCCTAGAGAATATTATTCTCAGTGTTACATCGAAGAAACTTGTTTATCCATAAACAAGTTTCTTTATTCTCTCACCGTTACAGGTGTGGGGCGGCATCTCATTAACTGCACATATAGCTTTAGTTTTCATTGAACCACGGGCCGTACACGTGGATTGACTTCTTATCGCTACATGTCTGAAATCCTCGCAGATCATGTGGTACCTTATGCAGGATATGCAGTTGATGCATGATAATGCACGGCTTCACGTTGCTCATGTGGAGACCCAATATCTACGCGATGTTGGCATCGAACGATGGACTGGCCAGCTCGAAGCCCGGACGTGAACTCTATAGAACACTTATGAAACGTCGGGTTCGAGCCCGGGTACCTGCTCCAACAAGGCTTCCAGAGCTGAATGGCAATTGAAGAGGAGTGGAATGTAATTCCCCAAGATTTCATCGTTTGGCTCGTGAGATCTATGAATACGAGGATGCTATCAGTTATCAGAGCAAGAGGTACCGAAGGAGGAAATAGGTACCTCAGGTCAAATTAACGGTTCACCATAAGAGGGTGTCTCCCTCTCCCTCCCCATCCCTGAATAAGGAGATTAGTGTTATAATTTGTAATGTGCAAATATTTTTTATGGTGAACTGTTAATTTGACCTGAGGTACCTATTTCATGTATCTCCTCAGCAGCCACTTCCAAGTGCTCGTTTCATCTGTAAAAAACAGATTTTTGCAGACTCAAATAAATGTTAGACATCTCTATTAGGTGTAAAAATGTGAAAATGACATCCATCATGCAGCTAATAACCCCAGGAAAACCAAATTTTTCATAGAATCTAAAATTATAACAATATACATTAGTGATGTAACGAATATTCGCATTCGCATTCGCATTCGCCAATATTCGCATATTTTTCGATATTCGCATTCGCATTCCTATTCGCAAAAAACGATGCGAATATTTAGCGAATGTATTTAACAAACAAAAAGGAAATTATTATATGGTTGCATATGAAATGATAACACAACTGATAAGATTTATATATTTTTATTTAACCATACTTGAATTAAAAAAAAAATATTATGGAACAGTCTTGGTAAGCAACTAAATTAGAAACACTTTCTCTTTTGTTCTTGTTAGTCTAATTAAAATATTAACAAAATCACAACTTAACTCCACCACAGAAAAAATAATGAATGTCCATGCCTTACATATATTTTGAAAAAAAATCTAATTCTAAATTCAAGTATCTTTTGCGAAAACAGAACTTCAGAGATCCAATCAAATCTAAGTATAATATTAATTTATAACCTTTTTGGCTTTAATTATATATTTTTCCATCCCACTATATATTTTCTAAGAATTAAATATGATAATGAAATATATACTTAAAAAATCAAATTATGAATACTTGACTATTTGTAAATAAGCTTTTTACAAAAACAAAAAATATTTATTTCTATTTAAAACAAAAGTAAAGTTCTAATATTCATAATGTTAACATTTGGTTTCAATTGCACATTTTTTCACTAATTTTCTATTTCTATGAATTAAAAATAATCAAATATAAACTACACAATTATAGTTTTGCTAATAACAAGTTGACACAGTTGACTATTAAAATAATTAAACTCGCTGTAACTTTAAATTCTTAGTAATTAAATTGAAGTAAAGGAATGTTAAATTTTAAAAATAAAAGTTTTGAAGCTCTTTCTCCGTGCAGCCTGTTTCGGTGAGGTGTGTAGAGAAGTCCAGCTCCACTGAAAACTCTTTCACTGGGGACACTTGTGGGTGGAGTTACCAAATATTCTCTGGCTACAGGAGAAAGAATACCATATTTATTGCTATTAACTTTCCACCAAAGAAGTGGGTCTTCTTCATTTTCAATACGTTTATCCAATACATAATCATTAATATTTTTTTTAATTAAAACTTCTACAGGATTTGGAATTTCATTTTCTAATTCTTCCTCGCTTTCACTTGAGTCCATCATCATTTTCATAGTTTCTTTTAGTGATACAGATTTTTCTGAAAGACTGGCACTGGAGCCAAAGTTTTCCTTAACCTGATTAGTCGTTTTAGGACGCTTTGAATTTGAACATGAAGGAAAGCTGAAGTCCTCATTTCCAATTAAATCCAAAATATTTTTCACGACCTGATCTTTGGTTGAAGGATTTTTGAAAAATTTCGATTTGTACCTAGGATCAATAAAAGTTGCTGTAGCAAATAATTTGTCGTTTTCCAAGTGAGAAAATCTGTGATTCATTTCTTGTTTTAAAACGAGTATAGTTTTTCTAATGCATTCTTCAGATGCCTCATATTCATCAATCACCTTTTCCAGGGTGGCCAATAACGGAATCACAGACGATATGGAAACATTGGCTGCACTTAGTTCTCGTGTTATTTCTTCAAAAGGTTTAAGCAATGTAATTAATTTTTCCACAACTATCCATTCATCTGAACTTAGTTGTGAAATTTTGTTGTTAGTGGAAGCATAAAGGCACAGTGAATCTTTGTTTTTTAAAATTCGTTCTAACATGTAAAAGTTGCTATTCCATCTCGTAACACACTCTTGGGATTTGGTTGATTAAGTTTTTCTTGTAGATTAGCAAGTTCATCTTGAGCTACATTAGAGTGGTGAAAATGTGTTGCTATCTTTTTACATTTGTTAATGACTGCAATGATAGATTCTTGTGACTTAAGCCCTTCCTTAACAACAAGTTGAATTTGGTGCGATAAACAATCAATGTTTTTAATATTTAATAAAGAAATACCTTTTTTCATGTTAGTGCCACCGTCCCTAACAATACATAATACCTTTTCTTTGGGAATTCCCCATGATGACAACATAGTTTCTAGCTTTACGGCTATATTTTCTCCTGTATGTCGCCCATCATTAAATACTTCAGATTTCAAAACAATCATTTTTCTTTCAAAACTTTTGGTAATTCCGTGACAAGTGAAACTTATCAGCGATACCCCAGAGCAAGAATCAGACCAGATATCAGTTGTAAACGCTAGTTTTTCAAATGATTTGATTAATTCCAGAATTTTATCTTTTACCTTGCCATATAATTTTTCGCAAATAAACGAAGTAAAATATTGCCGAGATTTTAAATTATACGAGGGGCACACTTGGTTAATCAATCTCACAAATCCAAGGCATTCCACAAAACTAAATGGTAAGTCCTCCAGTGCAATCATTTCGCCAATTAAATTATCTAGCTCCAAAGACTTGGTGTTGTTGTTATCCCATTTTTTATTTTTTTCGATGCAATCACCTAAAGATATTTGCTTAAGGTCGGTTTTGGTACATTGTCGCGAAGAGGACGCCAAAGAATTTATTTTAGCAGCACCTCGCTTTTCATGCTCTCTTCTTTTCAATTCGTCATATTCATTTTTGTGTTTAGTTTCTAGGTGATTTCGCATAGCACTAGTGGTCCTGCCTTTGCGCGAGTACTTTTTATCACACAACTTGCAATTTACATTTTCAGCATCATATATTGTGAAATAAGTCCAAACTTCGCTAACACGTGCTTTACTCAAGTTTTTATACCACTTTGTCACTTGAATATCAGTTAAATTTGGGAAATGCAATAACACCAAACTAACCTCAAATCAAAACAATACTTTTCGAATGAACTTTCTGTGACTAACTTCGTTCATTCAACCTGTATCGGCTCGGCTATGTTCAATTTAAACATGGCCGACACGAAATGTCAAACATTTTGCGCGCGCTTTATTTGAAATTTAACATTCGCATTCGCATTCGCGAATATTGAAGATGAATATTCGCATTCGCATTCGCATTCGCGAATGTGAAAAATCCAACATTCGTTACATCACTAATATACATATATATGTAGGTTGGATGACCTCATTTAAATGTAGTGATTTTGTACCAACTTCTGCTTTATTTGATTCCTTTGGACACTTGTTAAAGGAAATTTTATAAAATAATTCAGAATAGCAGGGTTGATAAGAGCATCAGTTACTTCCTTTACACATTTACTGACTGTGGTTTGGCCTAGATATTTATCCATACCCACCAATCTCTGGTAGGAGCCATTGGCATAAAAAGATAGAGCACAAAGAACGTGAAGAAAAAGGATAGTCGGTTACATGATATGATTGACTACTGCCTATACTATAAAATTTAACTTTATAGTCAAAACGTCAAAACAAAGTTTTGTGCTTCCAATTTTCATACAAACGTCTCTCGTAATTCTCGATACTCGATACGGCAGTAAGGAAAATAGTTTGTGCTCGCATAATTAGTTCCATTTACGCTCGATAGAGGCGCTGTACGGAATTTCATGCAAATAGGATTCGACGACGATACGAATACTTATTTGCAGATTTTCGTGCTCGCGCCTCAGATAGATATTATAGACTACATCCTATAATTGACATACACAGTGTGTATCGATAGAAGAGAACGCTTTTATTATCGACGAAATGTTTATACCGTACAAAGGCAAGAAAGCAGGAAGTCGTCGTCAATATAGCCCTTGTAAATGGGGCGTCAAGAACTTAGTCAGGGCTAGTGTATCTGGCATCATTTACGACTTCTTGCTCTACGCGTGAGATGACACTTTTAGAGACATTACATTTACTGAAGAAGAGACTGTGGGTATTGGTAGCATAATAGTTTTAGCTTTATCTAAATCTATAAAAAATAAAGCAAATGTTTTACTTCCATGGAGCTGAAATATTTTCTCGCAGCTTTTGGATATATGCATCAACAACGCCTCGCCTGACTTTTACGTCGGAGATATAACAAAATGACCAACACCAATAGAAAGCAGGATTGCCTAAAAGATTTTAGGTATGAAATTTAGAGCGGTCTACTGAAACGTTTAACGTTTCAGTGAAAAATTTAGACACAATTCCCGACAAAGCAAAAATAAAAATGTGATCATGTCCGGTATGACAAGTATGATTGGCCGCAAATAACCGGATATCAGAGGTATCAAGTACTGCAAAGCTAGCCAGGCAAGTACGATGTGCACAAAATGTAAGGTTCAACCTTGTTGTGAAGAATCGTAACTGTTTTTAGGTGTACCACCACAAATAAAAAAAAATTATTCAAGAAATATTTTTTTAATAAACATTTTTACTGCCATCAAGACAGTTATTTTTATTTAAAATCATATGCAGGAGATCCCAGGGCTCCTCTTACTCGCCATTACACTGAGGAGATGCCCGAAATTAGTCGTGACGAGATCGTGATGGCTCTTAAACAGCTCAAAAATGGAAAAGCCCCAGGTGAAGATGGAATAACCACTGAGCTCCTGAAGGCTGGAGGTACTCCTGTACTTGCAGTACTTCAGGAACTCTTCAACTCGGTTCTCTTCACTGGGAGAACTCCACAGGCATGGAGTAGGGCCACTGTTATTTTGTTCTTCAAAAAGGGAGACAAAACCCTACTCAAGAACTATCGGCCCATCTCATTGCTAAGCCATATATACAAGCTGTTTTCAAGAGTCATCACGAATCGACTTGCGCGAAGGCTTGACGAGTTTCAACCCCCGGAACAGGCCGGGTTTCGAAGTGGTTATGGCACCATAGATCACATTCACACAGTTAGGCAGATTATACAGAAAACCGAAGAGTATAATCAACCTCTGTGTCTAGCCTTTGTTGACTATGAGAAGGCCTTTGACTCTATCGAGACCTTGTCTGTTCTGGAGTCTCTGCAGCGATGCCAAGTCGACTGGCGATACATCGAAGTGCTGAGATGTCTCTATAACGCTGCAACAATGACCGTCCAAGTACAAAACCAGCAGACTAAGCATATCCACCTGAAACGTGTGTATGTCATATCCCCGAAGTTGTTTACAACTGCGTTGGAGGATATGTTTAGAATGCTGGACTGGAAAAATTACGGCATTAATGTTAACGGCGAGAACATCTCTCACTTACGATTTGCTGACGACATTGTCATCATGGCTGAATCGTTGCAGGACTTACAGCAGATGCTGAATGGCCTGGCTGAGTCGTCTCAACGCATCGGTCTTCGGATGAATTTGGACAAAACCAAGATCATGTTCAATGATCGCATTCGTCCGGAACCGGTTGCCATTAATGGAGTTCCTCTCGAAGTTGTTCAGGAGTATATTTATCTAGGGCACACTGCAACTAGGTAAACACAACTTTGAGAGGGAGGCCAAGAGACGTATACAGCTAGGCTGGGCGGCTTTTGGGAAACTTCGTCAAGTCTTCTCGTCGTCGCTACCACAAAGCCTTAAGACCAAGGTTTATAACCAGTGCGTCCTACCCGTTATGACATACGGTGCCGAAACGTGGACACTGACGATACGACTGGTCCACCAACTCAAAGTCGCTCAACGAGCTATGGAAAGGGCTATGCTTGGAGTTTCTCTGAGGGATCAAATCCGTAACGAAGTAATTCGCCAGAGAACTAGGGTCACCGACATAGCTCTTCGTATTTGCAAGTTGAAGTGGCAGTGGGCTGGTCATATCTGTCGTAGAACCGATGCTCGCTGGAGTAGGCGTGTTCTAGAGTGGAGACCGCGAATTGGCAAACGTAGTGTAGGACGCCCCGCAGCTAGGTGGAGCGACGACATACGTAGGGTTGCGGGTAAAAAATGGAAGAGATGGGCTGAAGATCGTGCCCAGTGGCGTGCCTTGGGAGAGGCTTATGTCCAGCAGTGGACTGCAGTGGGCTGATGATGATGATGATGATGAAAATCATATTATTAATAATAATGTTTAATTAATTAATCACTGCACGTGTAGCAATCTATAGAATAGTATACACCTTGTTTTTCCAAAATTATCATATCACGATATTTTTATTCTTTTTTTTATGTTTTTTATAACCCAAAGACCTACATATACATTTTTTTTTGCTTTTTTTTTCAAAGAAAAAGCAATGTTGCCACGATAAGGGTTAACACAAAACTTTGTTCAGCATCTTCTGAGTATTTTTCTAACGCAGACATTCTAGAAACGCCTAGTACTTGATTATTTAGAGGATTAGATTCTCGTTCCTGCGCAAGTTCCCCCAACGCAAGATCTGATATAGCAAATTCAGCGTCAGAGAATTTGGTTCGACTGGGTATATTGCACTGCCACGAAACCGCTTATTGCATTGACAGGGAACGCTGCTTGAATCCATGCCTTGGATATTAGCTAACCTGAGTTGTACCTGTTTATATGTATTTATACTTAACACGCCTCCTTACATTTACATTTTTTTATTTATATATTTACATTTTTTTATTTATATATATACTAACGTATTTATGTTTATTAACTTTACCTATATAACTATAACATCTTTAAATATCTAATATCAATTAAAATCAATCAATTAAAAAACGGACCTGACGTCTGTTCCTCCGATAATTTTTAATAAAATGTCTATTCCTTACTGCACGCATGTCAAAGACCTTGGCCTCACGATTGATACCACCCTTAGCTGGAATAATCACGTCAATGAGGTCAGTCGTAAAGTTACGTACACCTTGCGCAATTTATACCGGTTTAAAAATTTCCTTCCTACCAGTACTAAGATCTTACTTATTCAGTCCCTGGTACTACCCATTATTGATTATGCAGATGTGTGCTGCTCGGACATGAATGAGGACCTTTTAAACAAATTGGATCGTCTTCTCAATAATTGCATACGTTTTATTTTCGGTCTCCGTAAATACGACCACATCTCTTTTTACCGCTCTCAGCTTAATTGGCTTCCAATCCGCCAACGAAGAATTGTTCGTCTCTTGTGTACTCTTTATTCATTACTATACGATCCTAACTCACCCGAGTATCTTAATACCAAATTTCATTTTCATGGGGACATCTCTTATCGTAACCTTCGTCCGTCTAGGAATTTACTTCTCCACGTTCCTGCTCATCGTACGAGCTTCATTTCTAAATCTTTCACTTTACAGGCCATTAAACAATGGAACGAGTTACCCCTTGACATTAGGTCCAGCTCTTCAAAATTCACATTCAAATCCAAATTACGCAAACACCTTTCCCAGAACTAGTGTAGGCTCCTGTTATCCTTGTAGTATTATTCCTCCACCCAACCACCTCTATGTATCTGAATTTCCCTGTTGATTTGTATAAATTTATAATTGTATGTGTATTTGTATGTATGTGTGTAGGTACGTACGTCTATGTAGTTATATTTATATATGTATAATTATTTATTCATATTATGTATTATAGTTTATAAGTATATTCGCATATGTATTTATATTTAATCATATTAAAGTGATCTTCTTATTATTTTATTTTTTTTAGATTAGAATTTCAATTTGTTAATGCACCGCCAACATGAATCTCTGTTTGCCCAATGGTTGACTGGGAGAAAATGCCTCGAGGTGTTAAGTCCGCCATGTGTACCTTTATTTATGTATTTGTGCATTAAAGTTTTAATAAATAAAATTAACTTAAAACTATTTATAGATTATTCATATTTATTTATTTTTAATTTAACATCTCTCTAAATTTTATAAATTTAACTGTCCCTAATGACTTAGTAAAAATATCTGCTATATTATTTTCTGAATTTACTTTACAAACCTGAATTGTTCCATTTTCACAATTTTCATGTACAAAGTGATACTTCTATATGTTTTGAATTCTTAGTCAAATTTCCATGTTTTGCAATTTCATAAATACATCTTTTATTAAATTCAATAAGAACAATATATCTGTTACCCCATCTGACAAAGCTACATATTCAGCAAAAGTGGATGATTTTGTCACACTAACTTGTTTCTTAGATTTCCAAAATTTACATTTCCAAATAAACGCCAAAGCCTGCTGTGGATTTTCTATCTATAATATCTGGGCAGGTGCCCAGTCGGCATCTACAAAACAGTCTATTACATCATTATTTATATTATTTTGGCGATATGTTAATTTCAGATTTTTTGTTAAATACAAATATTTCAGCACTCTTAAAGCATATTTAAAATGTGTCTCATTAAAACAATTTTGAAACCTTTTAAAAACGAAATTGTCTGTTTTTTTAATTGTTTGTCCAGTTTTTTGTGCAGTTTTCAAGGCGTTTATTTTTTCTGACAAATTCTCTCCATAGAGATATTCATCTCTATCAATGTCATGTGACAATGTAAGTCGGTTAATATTTTTGAGGCATCACTTAATATTTTATTATATTTAGTCTATCACCTGTGTCAGTAATTGTTAAGGATAGTGCCTTGCTCAAAGCTGATATCCCCTGACCTAACTGTTGTTGATCAGCCTCTATTTTCTTATCTCGTCTTTTTCCAGTATCAGAAATTGTGGCCATGATTTCTGGATTGAGTTTAGGAGCTTGCAAAGTTTTGCAATTATCAGGTATTAAATACTGCTTCAGTAATGACTCTTTTACTTCTCTATCTAACCCACAAACTTACCACAGTGTTGGAGCGACATCCATTAACTGCTGACAGAATCTTTAATTTCGACGAATCAGGTGTATCTACCGTTCTAGATACTCCCAAAGTCCAAGATGTCAAAAACAAGTTGGACAAATTGCAGCAGAAAGAGGCGAGCTCGTATCTTTTGATGGCATTACATATATCTGCAAGTGTAAGTATCATTACTCCACTTTTCGGGTTTCTACATTTTATTTTTTCATGCATAGGGGAAAGGGGGGCATAACGGGGACGCGAGGCACGACGGGGCCATCCACACTTACAAAAAACTATACGCTCTAGATGTGTTTTGTTTTCGCTAATAGGTAGCCATTTTGTATCTCTCTTTAGTTTGACAGTGACCGGCGACTAGACTGCGCGCGTTTGATTATCAAAACAAAAAAGTATTTTCAACGCAATATTATGTAATTTTGAGTGACTACGAATAGGCATATAAAAAGGTAAGTATTTATGTCGCTACTATCATGTATTTATTTTGTATTTGGAGATAAGTTACTTATTGACGGTTAGAGTATTTTTGAACAAAAATACTAACCGTCACTTATTTTATTTGGTTGGCTATTTTAAATAATGTGAGAATTGGGGCATAACGGGGACATGGCTACGGGGTACGATGGGGTACCTTATGCGCCTGTTTTGTAAATTACATGAGGGATCGTTCTTGTTCATTCGATAATAGAAAATATTTTGTTTTAGGTATAAAAATGGTACGGACGTAGAAGAAAAGTTCGAGACTTAGTTGGTCCATGGAAAACATGAAACAGCCTATCGATGCAGTCTTGAGCAAAACTGCTGGCTATAGAAAAGCAGCTCACCTGTATAGTGTACCACAGACCACATTAAAGCGTCACGTCGCTAAAATAAGGAAAGGCGAGCTGTCTCTTGACTCTACTCTAGGTAACTTCAAGCCCGTGTTTTCCGAAAAAGAAGAAGAGGAGCTGGTAAGCTACATTATCGAAATGGAGAAACGTTTGTTCGGTTTAACCACTATCGTCCTACGGAAGCTAGCTTATCAGCTAGCGGAAAAAAATGGCAAAACTCACAAATTTAATCATGATAAAAAGATAGCAGGCGTAGATTGGTTAAAGGGATTCTTGAAGCGCCACTCAGATTTATCTATCCGAAAACCGGAAGCTACATCAGCAGCTCGAGCAATGGGCTTTAATAAAGTGGCTGTGGGTAAATCTTATTCTCTGCTCGGGGAAATATATGACAAATATAATTTGACGCCAGACAGAATTTTTAATTGCGATGAAACTGGCATATCATGCGTCTCAAAAACTAAGAGCAAAATTATTGCAGAAAAGGGTAGGAAACAGGTAGGATCGCTTTCTTCAGCAGAACGAGGGCAGACGGTTACGGTTGAGGTATGTTTTAATGCAGCAGGAACTTACATGCCTCCTACGCTAATATTTCCTCGACAGAGAATGAAGCAAGAGTTACTGGATCGAGCTCCTCCAGGGACGACAGCAGAATGCAACGCTAAAGGATGGATTACAACTGAAATATTTTTGAGCTGGTTCCAACGGTTTACAAGTTTTCTGGTGCGTCAATAACTAACCCAGCGTTGCTTCTTTTAGATGGTCTCATGTAACACATACGCAAAACATATCAGTTATTGAATGTGCACGCAAAAATGGCGTTGTAATGCTTTGCTTTCCCCCGCACTGCACCCATAGGCTCCAACCCTTAGATGTTGGCTTTATGAAACCTTTAAGTGTTTACTATGACCAATCCTGCTCTAATTGGTTAAGATCACACCCACAATAATAACAACATTTCAAATAAGCGAAATATTTGCAAATGCATATATTCAAGCTGCAACAATGTCTACAGCAATAAATGCCTTCCACAAATGTGGCATATGGCCTTTCAATCAGAATAACTTTACAGATTCAGATTTTTCAGCTGCATCAACCACAGACGTACCGCTAGCAAACAATGAGTCTAAAACAGGTCCTTTAAATGTCGGAATCCAGCAACAACCGCCATCACCTACCCTTGAAGCATATTTGCCTGCTTTAACAACACCTCAGCCTCAGCCTGGACCATCAACACTTAATGAACATAGCCTAATCCAATCTCCGATTCGAAAAGTATGTCGTGATTTGACAACTTCGTTTGCAAATGCTTCACCTCAAGAAATTCTGGCGATCCCGACAGTCGAACAAAGAAACCAAACGAGAAAAAACTATCGCCGAGGGAAAACTGTTGTTCTGACAACCCCCTACAAAATTGAGTTAGAAGAACGAGAACAGCTTAAGAGAACGAAGAAGTGTTCTAATTCAAATGACCCCAAGTTAAAGAAGAACTCTAAGAAACAGAAGACCCAAAAAGCTCCCTCTGGAATGAATATCGACGAGGATACCATGTGTCTGTACTGCCTTGACGTGAACCACACTTATTTAAAGTCTTCGGAAGGTTGGGTGGCTTGCCAACTATGTGGACGGTGGGCTCATACAGGTTGTGCTGGTGTAGACGACGACAATACAGAAGAAATCCACATCTGCTTGTACTATGACGCAAAATAAATACATACCCCATACTACCCCTACCCTGGGGCCCGATGGAGTTTTCATTATAGTTTCAAAAAATTAAAATTATTACGTCATATGATTATTTAAATCACCAAATTCTATGCCAAATGATAGTTAAATAAGTTACCAAAGTTTTGTGATTAGTTTTAATTAATAAATACATTACGTGGATTATTTTACTGTGTATTTTTCTTAACGCCCCCCTCTCTCCTACCTAATTACCTGACAGCTTAAATTTATAGTCTATATGAGATTCATATAAAAAATTGCATCTATCTACTTTGGCCTTGCACCTTAAAAATTTATACAACTGGTATACCAATGTGCGACAAAATGTAGTGTCCAAAACGTTCCACCATCACGGTAAGGCTGGTAAAGCTTTACCGACATTTTTTTAAAAGAAACCTAACTCTTTCCATTAGACCACCAAAAGCAACGAATGCAAGACGCGCGACCTCGTTCAACAGACATAATTTTGTAAGGATGAATAATGTACTTAGTTAAGTTAGTATATAAGGATTGATTATTTGACAGTCTCGGTGGTCTACAGTCCGTTCGCGTTAAGAAAATAGTGAGTCATCATTGTCGCCGGCCTGGCCACACCCCCCAGCCAATTAAAATGCTACAAATTAGAAAGTCGAGTTCACAGTGACCGGTTGAAGTCAAACCTTCGAACAAAATGGTCGAGTATTTTGCGTGACTCGTTCAACACTAAATTTTGAAAATGAATATCTCACCAATTCGAAAAAATAAAAGTGGATCAAAAAATCCATAGCGCAGAGAGACGCATAATTTACAATGTTTATAAGTACTTTAAACTGTGTGATTTAAAGGCGACTGTGGAGAGCATAGTCATAAAAAGCAAGTGCATGCGGTGTGTCCGAAAGTACTGCTTTCGGATAAACTGTTAATAAACTGGAGCGCTTGCAGAGGTTTTGCAAGCGCTCCAGTTTATTATAAGATTCATCTTCGGTTTACGTAAGTTTGATCATGTCGCTGTCTATCATAAGCAACTTAATTGGCTTCCTATTCGTGACCGTCGTAACATCCATTTGCTTACCCTTTTATATCAGATCCTTTACAACTCCAGTTCGCCCATGTACCTGCAGGAAAGATTCCGGTTACGGACTGATGACCGTCTTCGTTCCAGTCATAATTTAGTTTTGGCAATACCGTGTCATACAAGTCATTGTTACACTAACTCCTTTACAATACAGTCTGCTCGTCATTATCGTCCCATCGTGACAACCTCACCAGGGACGATAATGATGGAGCTTGAAAGAAGAACTGAAATTCTGAATATTGATTTAAATTTAATACCTGTAAATTCCCAGGCTAATAGTTAAATATAGTAATAGTTTTTGTGAAAGTTTCAAAACTACTTCTAACATAGACAAAACAGTTGAAATAATCATAACTAGAGATGAAAAATACATCCATCTCTTGTCCCAGTATAACGAAAACCGCTATCAAAAAAAGTTGTTTAGAGGAAATGTATATTAATAAAATAGATTTATTAAAAATTAAAATTTTAGAAGGTGAGCTGGAGCATAATTGATTTATTCATGCAGAAGAGTTAAAAATGAAAATCAAAGAAAGAGAAACAAAATATATAATTCCTCCAGAAAGAAACAAAATTTTCTCCAAAACATTTTCCACTAAATCGGAATCTTCTCTTATTGTGTTGTAAATCATGATCAGCTGCCACTGCCACTTTTCTAAGAGTTATCAACATTCACCTCCAGATCATATCATTGCCTACAAAGTATAAACATTTCATATCTGCTTCATCAAAAACTTCTTCCACTCCCTAATTATTCAAATATAACTTTGATATCCAAGTGGCAAAAGTTTTTTTATTTTTTTATGTATATAAATATAAGTATATTGTGTGTGTCTCAGTGGATATGAATAAAAATTTTATCTATCTATCTAGCAACTATAGATCAATACCCATATATATATTTTGGTAAAATGATCTGAGGTGATGTGTAAAAGAGTAACATAACTAAATTTAATGTTATAAAAACAGAACAATATGGACTTCAAATGGAGCAGTCTAATATACAACTCTGTTATTTTATGAAATATTGCAAATAATGCATCTGAAAGACACTGTATGTACATTCATATAATGTAGTAGTAAGCTTGACCACACCTGCAATTATTGAATTCATGAACAACCCCCAGTTAAATCAAAATATATCTTAATGGAAGAACTCAATGGAGATAAGTATTTTATATCAACTCTGGAAGAATATTCAACGGTGACGAAACTAGTTTTATATACCTAAACTAAGACTGTCAAGAGGATACAAGAATGCATACAAAATCTTACAAAGCTGGAAAAAAGTTATTACTGTCCTAATACTTATATCGGCTTCTAGTAACATTTTGCCTTCTTGTATACAGTGGGTTGCTTAATTAATAGGGACAGTCACTTTTTTTAGCTTCAAAGCTTTTATTCATGAAGTATATACTTATTATATACTTCATGAATAAAAGCTGTATATATTGTATATATACACTACTTTTTGAGTCAATTTGTTTCAAACCTTTATGTGGTATTGTTCAACACCTTACTCAACTTCAGAATAACCATTACATAAAAGTTCCTTGGGAAAGGCAACACACAAATGAAGTTTGATAACATGCATTGTTATTGAAAGAGAATTGTGGACACCAGATAATCAATGAAAAATCCTTATGAAGATGAGTATTTTAATAATTGAGAATAAGAATTTTGAGGCAGCATTGTATTTACAAATATATCAGACCCAAAAAAGGGCAGGTGGTCCAATTAATATAAGAGCTTGGAGGTAGGTGATGAAAAGATTAAGGTACCTGATGGAAAAATTATTTGCAAATCTAGACATACAAACATCATATTGGAAGAGCTTCCAATCAAGATGAAGAAAAAGTTGTTCCAATGAATAACATAACCTCAATTATATTAGACAAGGGAAAAAGAAATATATGTAGGTACTTGCATTTGCAGACTTTAAGATAGAATTGAAAAGGATTATCACAATTTTTATGTTGTATGAATTTCAAATTTACCAGTTATATTTGGAGGTATTAATCATCGTTAGTTTTTTATAATTTGTCTCTATCGCTACGTCGCCTACATATATGAACAGGACCAAGATTATCATATCACATCCGTGATACCACTCGAAATGACTAAGATATCATGCTTATATAATTACACTGCCTCATTCCATCCTTCAACCAAAACAAATCTTACAACACAAACTGCTTGGCGGAGTAATGAAAGAAGAAAGACAGAGGCACCCACGCAGAACTTTACCCAGCAGAATACAAAATCTACATATAACGTCGATTAACAAACCAACATTAACAATTTTCTCAGTTACGTGATTTACGTATTTGTACAGTAGTTCCCTTGTGCTATATTCAACGGTATTTATAAAAAAATAATAGTTGCAACTTGAAAATTATAACAAAATAAATGATGAACACTAGGACCAAGTATCAAATGGACACGACGTGCGCGTACACCCGATAAGGATGGATATAGAGTACATCTTACGCATGGTGTTGCCGGATGATATGAACTTAATTAATTTACCCACAAATATATAATATTATTATAATTTATTATATTTTTTTGTATGTACTTTTTTACATTTTTTAATTACATAAATAAATATGTCAGTATGTTTATATATTTGCATTTATATATACATATATTATTTTACTGTACTTGTCTATATGTATATATATCATCCACCCTGGAGATATGAGAAGTATTCATAGTACGTCATCTATATATAGGTATAGGTTTTCCAAAAGTCAAGGGCTTCATTCGTCAAATAAAGAGAGACGATAAAACATAATATCTTTATTGTTTTAACAGTTTGACAAAAAAAAACACTTGTGAATTCCTATTGACCTTTAAACAATATTAATTTGTTGTAAAAATTGCGAATGTTTTCGCCTTTATTACATACCGATTTAGTCGCATAATGAATACGTACATTTAGATATTTTTTACAT